GGCCTCGCAAAATAATAGTGTTTCCATATCCAAATTTTAGAAATTTTCTGGCCTCGCAGAATAATCGCGTCGCAAAAAGATCGCGTCAATACGGTATGTATGTATATATGTATGTATGTATGTATGTATGTATGTATGTATGTATGTATGTATGTATGTATGTATGTATGTATGTATGTATGTATGTATGTATGTATGTATGTATGTATGTATATATGTATGTATGTATGTATGTATGTATGTATGTATGTATGTATGTATGTGTATATGTAGTTGGAGACGTTGTATCGGGGCAATGCGGCACCGGTATTGTGATGGCTGTTTTGCTGTTTGCTGAAACCGCCTCCCTCTCTCCCCCCTTTCTCTACCCGCACAGTCTGTAGGATCTTTGTCCTCTCATGTTCACTAAAGTTGTATTTCCTGTCTGTGGTGTACATGTGTATGTATGTACGAATGTACGTACGTCCTGTCAGGTCCTGACGCACTAAGTGACGAGCAAATCTGTGCGGAGATCGCCACCGTCATACTGGCGGGCTACGAAACCACCGCGAAGTAGGTACACCCGCCGTACACCCGCCGTACACCCGCACAAACACGCTGTAACTGTCGCGGCATGAGTGTGTATGCCCGTTCTCTTTCCCCTTCCCTCACGTGCCCCTCAGCAGAACCCACCCAGGTATACCCACACCCACAGACACACACATACATACATACAGACAGACACACCTACACCGAAATGCACACTTTCAAATCTTGTTTACACAACTCGCGGACATATCAAGTCCGTACATACACACCTACTTTTATCCGACAATGAGCTGTAGACCGTACGATGTATTGTATTGTATTGTGGTTACAGTATTTCCGCCGCCGACGCGGCGGGTGCCCTCACGAGCCGTGAGGCTCCAGAGCACGCTGTTGACGCTCATCAAAAACCTCAGTAAGGAAAGTAGCGATTTTCCTCGGATTGGTATTAAGAAATACCTTGCGCATATCAGTATCTTCAACGTTAATCAGAAACCTATTACGCAACTCAGTATACGCCTCACACTCCATGAGCACATGATATTCATCCTCAACCTTACCCGACGTACAGACCTGACACGTACGGCACTCTCTCGGCCTATGGTGTCCTTTGTTGACCTCCAAAGGCCAACAACAAAGACGGAATTTGGCAACCATACGCAACTGGTTGACCGGCAAATAAACACGCAAATAGCCTGTGGGATCGGAGCCCTCTCTTGCTGGTGAAGGGGAGCCCATCCAGTTATGATACCTGCAAAGCGAAACCCCTTTACCTTGGAACACACGCGGATCACCCCCTTGGCTGAACTGATCCCAGTCACTTAAAAGGAACGCAGATAACCTCTCCAGAACCTCACCCACTCGAATCAACTGAGACGAGTATACATCTACCTTCTGAGAAACGGAGTCACACGCCGGCCACTCATGGCCCAACCAACGCAAAATGATGAGCACTTTAGACGACCAGCAATCCACTTTGAGATCAGACAGAAGAGCCAGACGGAGATCATCTACTAACACGTCATGATAGACCGACCCACGGGACTTGACTATCTTATTCCAGAAACACAACGCAAGGC